TTGAACTCAGGCCCTTGTGCTTGCCAGAGAAGCACTTATTCCACTGAGCTATCTCCCCAGCCCTGGACTTTCTTAATGAGGTACACCTCAACCTTTTTTTTTCTTTCTTTTCTTTTTTTTTTTCGGTACCAGGCATTGAACTCGGAACCTTGCTCTTTCCAGGCAGGCAATTATTCCACTGAGCCATATCCCCAGCCCTCCAACCTTCTAAAATTTGTACTTGTTTTTGTTTTGAGACAGGTCTTGCTGTATAGTTCCAGGCTAGCCTCATACTCAAAATGTACAGATTAGGGCCAGGGAAATGGCTCAGTAGAATAAGTGCTTGCCTGGCAAGTACAAGGCCCTGAGTTCAATCCCCGGTTCCGCCAAAAAAAAAAAAAAAAAAAAGTACAGATCAGCTTTTCCTTTTCTCTTTTGGTACCAGTAATCAAACTCAGGGCCTTGAGCTTGCCAGGCAGGTACTATACCACTAAGCTACATCCCTGGTCCTTGTCTCCCATCCCTTTTTAGGAACAGGGTCTGAGTGTGTAGTTGGGGTGTCCTTGAACTCGCTATGTAGGCTAGGCTAGCCTTGCACTGCTTTGCCGATGCTCCTGCCTCTGTCTCTGCGTGCTGGGCTTACAGTGGTGTGCCGATGCCACGCCTGGCCTCAGACTCACTATGTAATCTAGGCTGGGCTTGATATCACAACAGTTGTCCTAGGGCCAGGGAGATGGCTCAGTAGAATAAGCGCTTGCCTGGCAAGCATAAGGGCCTGAGTTCAATCCCTGGTTCTTCAAAAAAACACAACAGTTGTCCTGTCTCAGCCTCCTTAGTGCTGGGATTACAGGTGTATGCCACCATGCCTGGCTTCTTGTGTGTCTTTTGTAAACAAACTGGTCTCAATCTGCTGATAGACATTACAGTTTTCTTTTATAGTGATACAGCTCAGTGATAGAGCCCATGATTAAGTATACACATGGCTGTGGCGTGGGTTCAAGCCCCAGCACCTTGGAAATAATTTGGTCCTTTTATTAGAAAAAAAAGATTAATATGTGCAAGTGTATGTATGTGTGCACAGGTGGGTAGGTGTGCATGTGGGGAGAGCAGGGTCTCACTTTGCTGCCCAGGCTTCCCTCAGTCTCTTACACCCAAGGATCCTTGTTTTCTCAGCCTCTGAAGTGCTGGAAATACAAGAAACCATCATGCCCAGCTCAATTCTTTTAATACATCTGTGCACAATATTCCTTGAAACAGATCTTGTTTAATGTTGATTGATTGATGATTGGTGCTTGGGATTAAACTCAGGGCCTGGCACTTGCTGGGCACATGCTGTACCTTGATCCACACCCCTATCCCTTCAGTCATTTTTTTTTTTTTTTTTTTTTGCATTATGGGGGATCGAACTCAGGACCCTGTGCTTGCCAGGCAGGCACTTAATGCCACTGAGCTATGTCCCAGGCCCTTTTTTGTTTTGTTTTGTTTTGTTTTGTTTTGTTTTTTAAACATTTATTTGTGTGTGTGTGTGTGTGTGTGTGTGTGTGACCAGCTCAGCCCACCTGGGGGCGGGGCTGGCTGGCATGTGGTGCTGGGGGATCGAACCGTGGTCCCTCTGCTTTGCCAAGCTTGTTCCAAGTAGGTGCTTTAGACCACTGAGCCATCTCACCAGCCCCTAGTTTTTTATTTTATTTATTTAATTTTTTTCAGTACTGGGGTTGGAACTCTGGACCTTGTGCTTGCCAGGCAGGCACTTAAATTGCTGAGCTATATTCCCCAGCCCAATCAGTCTCCTGTTGATAGATGCTTCAGCCAGGGATATAACTCAGTGGCACAGCACCTGCCTGGCAAGTTCAAGTCCTGGGTTTGATTCCCAGTACCAAAACAAAACCCCCCAAACTGGCTGGGGAGATAGCTCAGTAGACTAAGTGCTTGCCTGGCAAGGGCAGAGTCCTGAGTTCAATCACCAGTACTGCCCAAAAAAACCCACAAATCACTGCAGTTGCCTTGTATGAACAATGCTTTGAAGGAGCAACTTTGTGTGTGTGGCGCATACAGGAAAGCTGTTACTAGTAATTACTAGGATTAGCAGGCACAGACGTGGCCATTTCAGCAGTAGGCATAACCTGCCGAAGAGCATGCTGCTGCTGCCGCCCCAGCCCCCAGCATGCCCTCTTCCCATCGGAGCCTATCTGCTTCCTTATCCTCCACCAGACCTGGAACTTTTGTGTTTGCCAGTCTGGCAAGCAGAGATACTACCTCCTTTTTTTCTTTTTGTATTTTAGGGAAGGGTCTATAGGGTGTTCAGAGTCTAACTACTAGATCTGATGCAGTGCGTGCTGGGGGGCGTGGCACAGCAGGCCTGGGGATCGAACCCCCTGCCCCTGTGGTTGCTGTCTCCTTGTTTGGCAGATTTGAGTCTCAAGTCTAGAATGACTTTGAGCT